AACACAGCTCCAACAAAATACTTTAAACTCTTACAGAAATAAAATGCCTCTGTGTTCTCATAGTGTCTTATTTGCTAATTTTCTTATTGATAATCCAGTATTTACTTATTAGTATTTCACTTATTAAAAGCTGCGTATTCGAATACAAAAAGTACCTAATATGCATCCTTAAAGGGATAATTCACCAAAAAAATGATAATTCTGTCATCATTTACTGACCCTCATATTGTTCCAAACATGCATGACTTTTTTTATTTTTTATACCCCAACATTCTTCGAAGTAACTTCTTTTTTGTCTTTTGCAGACAAAAGAAAGCATTACAAGTTTGGGACAAGTTTTAATGATTATCTCTTTAAGGTAACTAATATGCATCTTTCAGGGGTGGATAAAGGGTGTATCTTTGAGGTTACCATTTTTTTTCATAGTTGGTCATTTGCCTCTTTAACCCCTTAGCATTCCTGTCAAATTAGCCTAAAACGCCTAGAAAAGGCATACCCAAAGTAAATTGCATGTGGTTCTTGAACCATTTTGAGCATATGCATGATTTTGGTCTCTTTTGAAAGGTGACAATCCCCACCTTTCCCAAACAGAACAAACCTAAAAATCACTGTAAGTCTTACTGGTATTGAGTAACAGAACTTTGAACACGCTGAAAAAGGAAAAAAAAACAAAAAACATTCCGCCTACTTTTTTTTGTAAACAGATGCCTGCAGATGACTATAGCTTGGGAGCTATTAGCTGGAAAACACAATGGAATCACAGGATGAAGCCTTGTTGACGGTCTGACAAAGACACTGATTGTATTGATTGTATCTTAAAATGGGCATCATTCGAATTACAAGAATCTCAGCTTTCCAAAGATACATTTTTTTTTTGAGTTGCTGTATGTCACGAAGTTAACCCTCAAAAACACATAGTGCACCCCGAGCAGTACAGTGGAACGCTAACAGGTTAATATATTTTAATTTAGGATGGATTAATTTAAGCATCTTTTGGGAATCAGTCCCTCTGCAGTTCATAGGCTCTAAATTTGGCTGGAAATTAAAATATTACACTGCCATCCCTCTTAAAACACGCACACTGTATTGTATTTTGTTAAGTTGGGTTTTGCTTATTTGGTTGCTTATTTGTGCAGCAAATCACAGATCACCACACAACATTACATCATCATCAATAAGTACTTTATTAAATGCAGTTTCAAAATTAGGTTGTGATTTTAGCTAATAGCAAAATACTTGTACTAGAGAATAGGGATTTCTGTCATTTGTTGTGTTAAAACTAGCTGTTCTCTCTGTGTGTATTTTCCTCATTTTACTGAAGAGAGGATATAGGAGGTGAGTGGGTGAAGTTACAGCAGCACTCCACTGTTAATGTTCTCTCTGTGGTGCTGTTTGATGTCATTGTAGCGAATTCTTTCTCCCTGCGGATTACTGGTGCCTCGAAACACACATTATCTTAATAACAGACTAATCATCCAAGTCACTTAGCACATCATGTTTTTATCTGCTTTAATTGTTGCCTTTACCTGCTCAGCTAATGGAAACAGATTGGCCGCTCTGTGGGAAGAGCTGCTGGGAGTTTAGTGAAGCTGTGCTGTGAAAGATGTACTTTTGTTCTGTGAATGTAACAGAATTCCCTCTTTACTCTTAGCAGAATGTCTCTGCCTTTGAGAGGAACACACACACACCTCCTCACACCCACACATCCTCTGATGTTTGAATCAAATGGAAAAATATACTATTATAATTGTGTCCTATAAATGTGACATAGCCAGGTGAAGCCACTATAGGAAGCAATGCTTAATAAATCTGTGAGGAGGGCCTTGCAGATAAGCTTTTGGTAATGACTCGCCAAGTTAACCTGTAGGTCAAAGGCTGCTCATGCACCTGAGAAGATCAGTGTTCTGAAAAGCTTTCTCTCTCTCTCTCTCTCTCTCTCTCTTTCCTTTTCTCTTTATCTGCTTGAATATTATGCACTATTAAAATAATTTATTCCCATCATGCCTGGTCCAGAAGGATCTCAAGGCCTTTGCACAATGATGATGAAAGTCTAAACACAGCCACATCTATTACTTTACAGTCTCTCCTTTCGGCACATCACATAATTGCATCACTTCCCGTATCAGAGCTAAAGCAACTGGTTGGCCTACTGTGTGCGTTCATATTAGGCTACATATGCACAAATACACTAAATGTTTGTGATAAGAAAAAAAATTTAATTTTTGCTATTTCAATTTCCAAATTCCAATTTTCTCCCCCCCCCCAAAAACAAAAAAATCTCAGAATTTTATAGAACAGAATAATGACTAACAAATGCAAATTAACCAGAGTTCCCCAAAATAGTATCTTGAGCCTCATTTACAAATGTTTGAATATCATAGCAGATATAACATGAGGGTTAGTAAATGACAGAACTTATATTTTGGGGTGAATGTTCGCTTCGAATGTCCAAATACCTTTCTTTGTTTTTGTTGTTGCATGGCTGTCGATTGTGACAGGCATTTACCTGGTCTCATTAAATTGCTACAGTCTAAAAGCAAATAAATACATAATTCGTGAGGCTCATCATTATAACATCAACTTAAAGAGCTGTCTCTCCTAAATTATGGGATACATTTAGCCTATGTCTTATTGCATAAACGGCACATGCAAATGACAAATAGTAATTTGGTAGCAGCAAAATGAATAAGACAAGGCGAACTGATTGACTACATATTTGTAAACTTAGTTACAGAACGCGCTTTCTTTATTCCACATTTTACGCTTGTGTACTTTAATTAACAGCGCTGCTCATCTGCGGCGGAGCGCGTGCTGACTGAAAGAACGTTCCGCCTGCGCCTGATTTAGATGATTTCGTTCCGGGTTGTTAGTGGCTGTCAGGTTTCTGCTCTGTGCTGCCATCGAAATGATTTTCTGTGCGCATTCTCTGTTTTGACCCGCATCAAACTCATTTTTGTCTGCTGTGAGACAGCTGCCAGATTAATCCGCGAGTCGGTGTTCAAACCATCCGAATCTGCCGAGAGGGGCTGATGAGGGCAAGAAAGGGCTATGTCTTGTGGGTGAATTGTCCTTCATAAACCTTACACAAGTTCCAAAATACTCTTATACTTTAAAACTTTATGCCTTTCGACTATACACACTATCAGAGAACACACAGGCTCTGGCGGGTCTAAACGCGTGCGGTTTGTCATTCATTGCTCTGGCGCCAGTTCACGCACTAACGACAGACAGCAGCCATTCAGCTGTTTTAAAAATCTCTGGAGGAGGATTCTGAGACGGAAGAAAACACCACATCCTCTATACTTTACTGTAAACTTCGTTATACGCTTTATTATGGTTTAGTTATTTATCGGAACTTTGCTGTTGTTTTGGAAAAACATGACACTGTTTTTATTTCTAACTTATAACGTGATATTTTTGGAATAGACCTGAAAGCTCGAGTTGTAGGGCGCTGTCCATGAGCGATGGTGCTGAACTTGTGTGCTGCGCTCAAGAGCCTGGCATATGTTGAGAGCCACACTCATCATAATCAATTATACCGATGTACAGACACAAGCCACATAGGCGGAGCGTCTGTACGGCTGGGGAACGCTTAGCCTTCCCCTGAACGCGTGCATAATTTGTGTATATGACCACAGATGCTGTGGGATTCCAGCTGCTGCTCCGGGATAACGGGTCTAGGATCAGGTTCCCCTCCCCAAATCCAGATCTTAATTACAAGTGAGAAGGGAAAAACGACGTTAGATCAGTGGCAACCTACAACAACTTTATTTTACGTAGTTTGTTTTGTGCATGCGTTAAAAAAAATGTCATTTCTGTTTACAACATATGGTAAAATCAAAGCTCATCCAAGTATGTTAAAAGTTTCTTTTTAAATTAGCAGTACTTGGTTTTATTTAAACAAGTAAAAAAATGATCGGTTTTAATGGACTGAAAGTTTTAAACTGTAGGCTACTATGTTTTTGAGCGTCTTTTTAAAGAACTGGAATAATAAGAAGATCTGGGTTGTAAACGTTTTTAAAATAGTTTAACTCTATATTTTGGAGGGGGACAAAAAACACTCTTCCAACCCCTAGGCTTGATAGTTTTACCCAGTGAGCGAAGTATAGGCCTATGCAATAACTGTCATTGGTTCGACGTTTTAAAGGAATTTCATTTGGCTATTTTCAGGGCGCAATCTGTTGAGGAGCCACACAAATGGTCTTTTCCAAATCACTACTATCTTACTTGCTTGTAAGTGAAGTGTAAGTGTGATTTATTTGTAGCCGAATATTTAGGTCCATTTGTGTTTTGCCAGTGTGATCCTAATTATTCGCGAGCGTCCTCGATCCTCTTGCTTTACCTCAGGCGAACGCGATGCTTACTGCCAGTTGAGTAAATGCGCACTTGCTAGCTTTTAATCTACATTTTGTCTTTATTGAAACGTTAGAAACCACAGTTGACCTCAAACATACTTTAAGACCCCTTACCCTTTTGTTTTGAATTTTCTGTTTTGACAAACAGCCATAATTCACACCTTGGTAGATGGTACGCCCTCCGCCTATGGTTAGCCATGTCCTGTAATGAGGTCTGACCGTCTCTAAGGTGGTTATTGCAGTAAATGCATTTATCTGTTTTAGAGTTTGCGGGAACAGACAGCGCTGGGTTCACAGGACAGGAGCTATAGGTTGATTCAGTCGAACCTGCGGACTCTCAGGTGATTGGCTGGAGCCGGTGGATGACATCATTGAAAGTCCGCTGCCTCCGCCTCGCGCTAAACTCCTGGAAAGAGATCAGAGCTGCTCGCGCAGATGGGAGCCACATCTGGCGGATTGTAAACCGACTCGATCTAGAGAAAACCATTCGCTCGAGGTGTGTTTAGGTGAGCCGCCAGTCGCGATGGCCAGAGACTTAATGAGCTTCTCTCCGCTGGCGAGAGCCGCGCGCGTCAAGAGCGCATGACGTGAAAAACAACATGAGGACAGCCCTTCTAATAATCTTGAGGAAAAACTTGACGGAGTGAAGGAGGAAGGGTGGATTCTTTTTTTTTTCGTCTGGCAGGCTGAGCATTTTTAAAATCATGCAACATGAATGTAACTAACAGCACTGGAGCAGAGGGACTCGCGCCCTGGAACTTCAACGGTAAGTTGCGAGTGAAGGCGTCAAGTTTAATATGACAAGAAAGAGTTAGAAAAGAAAGGGTTTCTTATCACAACAGAAATTTGCGATGAATGTGTCCATTTTGTGAGTACATACTGAGACCATGTCCAAAGTAACACATTTGTGACTGTAGTGGTTCCAACAAAAACCCAATTGTCCGGTAATGTTTTCGACAATGAATATGTTCAGGGTTTCTGTTATTGTCTAAGTTGGCTATATGCTTTTGTAGATCCATTTACACCATGTCAGTATGAACTGGAGAAGCATATGAAATAAGAATGAATGGTACTACTTATAAACACCAGCAGAATGGCTAAACCTGTTTATCCCATTCACTATATACCGCAAAGTAAAGACTGGGAACAACAACAAAAAATAAAAAATAAAGTCCAAAAAAATCTTGAGAAGCATACATGTAATCAAATTATTACAGTTCAATTTGGGATATTTTACTTAAATTATACATTACATGGTAAAATAGAATAAGATTTTGAAGTGGGGCGGTTTGAAGAAACATGGATAGGTCTGTGATTGCCTTCATGCCAATGCTTTTGTTAATTCTAGATAGAGTTAAATGAACCAATAAACCAAGGCTAGTAACTTAAACAGTTTTGGCTCTAATTTGCTCCAAAAAAAAACAAACTGTATGATTATATCCTGTGCCATTTATGCTTTTGTAATGCTTTTGTGGGGAAAACGGGAATATAAACATCAAACAACTTACACATGGTTTATATGTGTGTTGTGTGTGTGTGTGTGTGTGTGTGTGACTGATCAGTGATTCTGTGGTGATTTTTGCAGGATGTCCTGATGCATTGGGTGAGGAAGGATTTGACAAGGGATGATTGACATTTAGGTGAGATTAGTGTTTGCATGTAGATTAGTGTAGGTTTTAGGCAGAAAGGAATTCCTGGCCAATTCAACATTGGTTTCTCTCCACTCTATCTCTGCCACTCTGTTAACTGATCTATCAGAACCTGATTCTCAAGCCTCTGTGGTCTCTTTCTGTAGCTTGTGCTTTATGATTAATGCATAGTAGTAACAGCCTTTTAAATAGATGAAATAGATGAGAAAGGGGGAAAAGTAAACCTCAGCGACAAGTATCAGTAATGCCTCTCTTTCAATGAACCATCAAAGAATCCCATATGCAGCAAAGAATGCACATTTATATTTTATCTAAATACTCTGTGCATTGGATTCAGTTCTCAAATTTGCATTTAAAGCTCATAAGAAGCAGAGTGCATATCACCACAGAGCAGACACACATGCTCCCTCAGATACTTGCACAGACTCCTCTCTCCAAACTGACATTAAAACAGAAAACATAGACATTTGGGGGCACATGAGAGAAGGAAACTAAAAGAATGAGTGTCAGTCACAGTTTACTCAGAGAGCATTTTAAAAGAATACAAATCTTTCATTTCCGTTATCTCAGACAGACTCAATCACATCTAACTGCTGTGCATGACGGCGGCTCTTTGATTCTGTGACCATGATTCTAACTGTGTGAACTGGTAAAGTACTAGAAGAATCCCCCAGAGTCAAAGTCTGATGTCTCTCTCGGTGTGTCAGGTTTTTTCATTTTTCCTCTCCCTCACTCTGTCTCTCTCTCTCTTTGTCTCTGGCTGGGTGTTAACCCAGTTTCACAGTAGAAAGTGTGTCGCTATGCTGTTGTTTCACCCTGTTACACTCGCACACAAACACTCTGAGAAAAGATTGAAATGCCTGGAGACACAGCCAGTTCTCTGTGGGATCTCAACAGGGAGAGAGAACACAGCTTTAACAGCTGAAGCAGCAGGATTGGCTTGTAGCTCTAAACAAAGCCCTGAGCATCCCGCTACTGGGCACCAACAGTTGCATCACCTGTGACATCACTTTAGACTAAATATTTCATCAGTCGTAGCACATTTTAGTTGCATTTACATTTAGTCACATTTACATTTCAGTACAGTTATATCATTACTGTGCAAGACTTGAGCGGATAGTTATAACATCATGTACAGCCTCTCATGGGACATCAAAGCAGATTCTGATCCCAAATGGCGCCCTCTACTGTCAGCATACACCTAATTGCTTTGAGGGAACATACAAAGACCTCAGATTATGAAAATACGCACATAAGGACTGACAGTAATGAGATTTTATTTATTCATTATTTTAATGGTCGATCACTACAACAAGGATTTCAACCGGTCACATCTTCTGAAACCATCACCTTTGATTGAATTAAATCTCCACACTTCATTGTGTGAGAAATCGTTTGTTTCCCCAGGTTGATTCTTGTAGGTTTGGAGATCAGCTGTGACTTGGCATGCCAAGAGTTCAGATTTGGTTAATTCATGTGCTTTAATTTCTCAAGGGAGTTGACTCAAATTGCCATATCAGTGGAGTTTATTGTATCTTTCAGCACCTTGCGAGAAAAGCAATGCTGACCTTTGCACTTATCAGTAATGAATACCACCCAATGCCACTGGAAGTTGTCAGACAATGACTTAGACAAATTTGTTTTCACCTACTGGAGAGGATAATGCTGATAACTGTGTGAGTTGTGGGCCGGTGTGTGTAATTAATTGCAAATGTTCTTTTCATGCCACACAGTATGGCACAGTTACCAGGAAACCATCACCCACCTCACCATCTCTCTTATACTATCTGCCAATCAGAAACAACTAGAATATTTCATTAGTTCTTTAAACTAAATGTGTAAACAAAAATGTGTTCTCAAGCATATAACTGATGTAAGGCAAGGCAAGGCAAGTTTATTTATATAGCACATTTCATACACATTGGTAATTCAAAGTGCTTTACATAAAAGAAAAGAAAATAAAAATAAAAAAATGATCACAACAATAAAACAAGGAATTTAAAAACTTTGAAAATGATTTAAACATTGATTTAAAAGGTTTAAAATGAATTTAAAACAGTTAGGAATAGAAAATGATTATACATAAAATATAGTGCAATCAGTTCGGACGTTGCACAGTGCTCATTCAATAAATGCACAGCTAAACAGATGAGATTATACATAGAATATAGTGCAATCAGTTCGGACATCGCACAGTGCTCATTCAATGAATGCACAGCTAAACAGATGAGTTTTGAGTCTGCATTTAAATGTGACTAATGTTTTAGCACATCTGATCTCTTCTGGAAGCTGATTCCAACTGCGGGCGGCATAATAACTAAACGCGGACTCCCCTTGTTTTGTGTGAACCCTTGGTATTTCTAACTGACTCTATCCTAATGATCTGAGTGGTCTGTTGGGTTTATATTCAGTGAGCATATCTGCTATGTATTTAGGTCCTAGGCCATTGAGTGATTTATAAACGAGTAAAAGTACTTTAAAATCTATCCTAAATATAACTGGAAGCCAGTGTAAGGAGCTGAGGACTGGTGTGATATGCTCAGATTTTCTGGTTCTAATCAGAATCCTGGCAGCAGCGTTCTGTATGAGCTGTGGCTGTCTAATGGTCTTCTTGGGAAGGCTGGTGAGGAGACCATTACAATAGTCCACCTTGCTGGTGATAAAGGCATGAACAAGTTTCTCCAAGTCTTGACTGGAAACAAAACATGTTTTTTAGATGACAGTATGCTGATTTAGTTACTGCTTTGACATGACTACTGAAACTAAGGTCTGTCTCCAGAATCACACCAAGATTCCTGACTTGATTTTTAGTTGTTAGACCCCTAGGGTCAAGGTATGAATTCACCATGTAAGGATGCCGCGTCACTTGTCACGATGCTTTTGATGTTTTGCTCATCTGTGCGCTGATCAGCTTAATCAGTGCTGCTAAACTGTAGCACAGCAGGGCATTGTGCCTGATTTCGATCCAATATTCAGAGAATTAGCAGAGAATTAGAATTGTGTGTGTTTGTGTGTGTGGGAGAGAGAACGAGAGAGTCATTAGTTTGCCAGTGGCCAGTATGGGGGATCTTATAACGAGCACATAGCAGAATCTAAGGAGGAGTCTGATGAACAGACCACAAAGCAGCCCACACACACTCCCACTGTGATGCCTGTCCGAATCTGCAGAGGCCTGTGCGCCGTCTGTGTATTTGTCTGTGTGTCCTGGTTGCCTTGTTAACAAACTCTAACTTTTGATTGTCAAAGACGCTTTCCATTGCTAGTCCCAATGAAAATTGGAAAAATGTCCTGGAAAGACAGGCTACACTAAAACACTAATTACGTTTTTTTTGATGGTTATATGGAACCTTTCAGCTTTTTATTCATACGCTGACACATTGTTATAGGTGTTTATGTTAATTAACATATATTCATATGTGATTTTTGTTATACTGGTGGGGAAAAGTATATTTGGTAGCAGATGGCTTTATGTTTCGAGCTGCCAGCTGGTAACTGGAGGCTTTCTGCTTTTAGTCCCAATAGAGTCATTAAAAGAGCAGCATCTGTGTGTTTGTTGGTGTGCATGCATTTGTTTGTGCAGACAAGCGTGTGTGACTACATCCATAGTCAAATCCTCTGCAGCTGAGTTGACTCCCTTCCTGTTCGCTGTCATTCAGTTAAATTTAAAATTAGAAGCATTTAGCCGTTATGAACATGTAAGAGTGTGCCCGTGTGCGTGTGAAGCAGAGAAGTGTTGGAGCAACAGCTGCTGTCTTTTGCATCCCTGTGCTTAGCACAGCAGACACACCGCGGAGAGAATGACAGCTTACATAAAAAGTCTCAGTTTGTGACTCGCTTAGGAGACTCTGGAAACGTCTTTCACTGTATTTTTGACAGAGTGTCACCGCCTCACTGTACACACAGTCAAATAGCCAAAATGCTCTAGCAAAATGCTCAGAAAGAAGGTAGAGTCTCCAATGAAAAGTAACAGGCTTTTTGAAGGTACTTACACAAACATTGCTATAATGTGTGACAGAATACCTGGTGATTCCGGTTGGTTTGTCCTCTCTTTTCTCCACATACTCTCTCTCTCTGTATTTATCTTAATAATGATACATTTTAAAATAGAGCAGTAATA